GCTCGGGCTGCCCCCGCCGCCGCCTCTGCCGCTGCCTCCCCCGGCCTCTGGCCTTTTCCAGGCCGCGCCGCTCGGGCTCCGGCTCCGGCCCAGCGCCCGCCGCGGGGCACACCGGGAGATGCAGTCCGCCGGCCCTCAGCGCCGCCGTCACCGCCCTCGGCCTGGAGTGAGCCGCGTGGCACGCCGGGAAATGGAGTCCGCAAAGGCCTCAGAGTAGACCGCGAGGATGAGTCGCGCTGCGCGTCGAGAAAGAGTTCTGGGAAGTCGGTCAACTGTGCTCACGGCGGACCGTGAAGTACTTTGGGAAGAAGAGTCAGAGTCGCACATCCACGCCACTGTGGCAACGGTGAGCCCCACAGTGTGCCTCAGAAATGTAGTTGTAGCCGCTCCGTGAGTGGCCTGAGGCACGCCGGGAAACGGAGTCCAGTCGTTCACTGAGTCTATTGGCTGTGTGTGCCTACTGGCGCCAGGTGTACTCTGGGAAATTGAGTCAGCGCGGGATGACCCGCAGATCTCGGACAGTGAGGCAAGCCGGGAAATGGAGTCATCGCCACGCCCTCACCGCATTGCAGGTGTAAAGCGACTCCCAAAGCACGCCGGGAAATGGAGTCCCATGTGATACCTAATCCCTAAATGGTTACTGCAGTTCCGGAGATAGGCTGGGAAATGGAATAGATATAATTCTCCTCCTCCCTCGTACACTAGGCCGCAGTCCCGGCTGGGAAATGTAGTCGATACCAAGGCTTCAGAGCAGTTGCTACAGCGAGCCCTTGCGTCTTCTGGGAAATGGAGTTCAAGGCAGCCTCCCCATTGACTGAGGGGAAGGGAATATACCATGAGCCCGAAGCATGCTGGGGAATAGTCCAGACCGCATCCAGACACTTTGTGAGACAAGACTGCCTACGCTTGCTTGGAAGCGGAGTCCAGCGGGGTACCTGCGGAAAAGCGGGAGCATGAAGAGTGTTTCAACGCCTTCTTTCCCGCCCCCCAGTTCCCAAGAAAGAGCCAAAGTCGTCTAGGGGGTGTTGGAAAATTCCAAGTTTCAAGTTTCCACAAATCGGGAAGGAAAACTCCCCTACAAACGATTTGGGAAACAAAGTTCCTGGCGGTTTGTCAGAACAATACAGTCTTCGAATACAGTCTAGTTTTTTCTAGCATTGTGAGTAGCAGGAGGCTGAGCGGAGCGTTAAAAAAGAAAATACAATGCCTTGAACCCCCATTCAGCTTTTTTGCGTCCTCCTGCTTCCTAAATTACAAGATCCTGGAGGGCTCCCAAACAAGAAAGCCATCTGTTAGGAGTAGCCTGGGTTTGTGCACGCATTAAGTCGCCCTATTTATCGATTATACCCGGAAGGACAGGAGCATCAAAAGGGAGCTGTGAATAGTGTGTGTGTCCTGGAAATTCTTGGAACTAGAATGAAATTACCCTCAGCCCCTCCTGCCTCGTGGAATGATGGGAAATAGAGTCTCTAGACTTCATTTTAATCCGAATCTGTGTTCGTATTAACTGTCCTGCCTTCTCTGAAGCCTGAAGAAAGTCTCATCCACTTAGTCTGTTCCTGACTGCAATTCCCACTGGACACAGTCCTCCCGGGCGGGCCAGACGGTAGCGTTAAAGCGTTTTCAGACTACATTAACCAGAGGCAAAGCGGATGCACTTCCGCTCCCTTCTCGACGAATGCGACTGCATCACGCACAGCCCGAAGCGGACATTTCTGGGAGTTGTAGTTTCTCAGCCAAACGGTGTCTGCTGCCCTCTGACGGCAGATCCGAGTGGAAAATCAAAAATCTTGAGTCAAGCCCCGAAGTCTGGGAAATCAATCCTACACTGAACCAAGAAGGCCCAGAAGGGCAGCGAGGCGGGGGATAGTGGCGGTTACTTAACCGCCAAAAGCCGTGGAACATGCGCAGTGGTCTGCAAGTAGGCATCGGCCACCACAGGGATTGGGATCCGTGGGAGCCTTAGGGCGACTGTAGGAGGAACTCTTACCGGGATGTTTGTAGGGATTGAGAACGTGTCAAGGGGTGCCGGGGCGGGTGGTCAATGTCTTTGAGGGGCCTATGGGTGCCTGGAGGTACTCAGAGGTACCGTAGAGAGGTGAAGGGGGCCTTACTGGGGACCGATGGAGAAGTCAGAGGGGCCTTGGGGTTTTTTTTAAAAGGTCTGTGGGAGACTGAGAATCTTCTGGTGACGGGATTTCTGAGGAACCTGAAGGGGTGAAGGATGGTTGAGTAGCATCAGGAACTTTGGGGGTCTGTGGGAGTGTTCTAGGTGCAAAGAGGAACTCCGATGGGAGGAATTAATTGATGAAGCATAGTGAGATTTATAAAGGGCTTTTTACTTTGAATCAGAGATTCTGAAGAATGTGGAAGGGAGCAAATGTGTGGTCTTGAGGGTGAACAGATTTAGGTAGGTCATTTTAAAGATTAGAAGGGTCCTGTAGTTTTCAAGACCAGGTGCCACCTGTGACACCTTGCTCAGCTCCAGAATTGGGGGCAGTAAGTCTGCCCTGGCCTAGTCTGATTTGGAAAGCAGTTCTGGAGCTGAGCACTTTTGAATCGACGTTAGACCTGGTTAGAAGTGTTTTGAAGGCACTGGAATCAGGAGCTGAGTACCTGTTGGGGTTCCCCCCCACCACCCCCCAGTGATGACATCCCCTTTTCTCCATCACACTACCACCACCAACTCAGCTGCAACTATGTTGCCAGGAAACATGCCTCTTCTCAACTTCCAGAAATAGGCCAGTGGCTCCCACCCCAGGGAGTGCCTTACATCACCCAGGAGAGGGAGCAGTTGCCCACATGCTGCCACCGGAGCTTCAGTTTCCTGCCAATACCCCAGTCCTGGATCCCGTCTTCACTGCCAACCGACATCATCTGGGACCACCCACCCTGGGCTGGCATGAAGTGAGGATGAAGTGAGAGTGGGTAGGGGTTGCCAGTTCCTTCCCCCTCAGAGCTGCACAGGGTGGGGTTTCACAGTGAAGCTAGTCCAACAGGCTCTGAGCTCTCAATCCCCACTCTCTTAGCAGTTGTGTGGCCTTGGGGAAAATCCTTCCTCCCTCTGGGCCTCAGGCGCCTCACCTGCACCGAAGGGGTTGGGCTGTCTGAAAGGGGCATGTTCTTCCATCCCATTTGAACTCTCCAACCTGGGCTTCTAACTTGATATGCTCACCTTTCAGATCCTTACCTTTGAGACCATGGTCTAGATCCAACCATCCTGGCTTCAGTCAGAAAACTCAGGAGTTGAAAGAACATAAGCTTCAGGGACGGACTTCATTTAAAGTCCTGGCTGGGCTTAGGGCTTTGGGCAGGTCATTAAGAGCCACTTGAACCTACCTTGCTGGGTGTTGGAAATATAGCACAGCACTACAGCCCCTAACTAGGTACTTGGTGCACAGTAGGTCAATCAATAGCAACTCTGATTAAGCCAGCCCCATCTCAACTTGCTGGTGGAAGGTGTTCCCATGGTTCCACAGGAAGATCACTAAGGTCCCTTGCAAGGTTTACATTTCATGGGACTACAGGCCTGTCCCCAAAGGACTCCCAGACTCAGATGCGCCCCATGGAGAGTGAAGTGTGGAGAAACTAGAGGTAGTACAAAAGGAGCTCCAGGCCTTCGCCAGAGGCTGGGGACATGGATAGGAATCCGGAGCCAGAAAGGCATTTCAGGCGACTGGTGAAGAGTCTAAGTGCTTCTAAAGACAAGCAGTCTCCCTGGGATAGGGGAGCAATCAGATGATAGCCAGAGTATGCCTGACACTTTAATCATCAGGCCCTGGAGGTCATATGCGCCCCCCCCAGCCCCCAGGTCAGATCATCTCCCACGCCTGGAATTTGACCCATTCAGATGGGGTTAGGCCCTCTGGCCATATATCCACTAGGGAGCCAGACCAGGCCCCTGTCCTTCAGAATCCAGTGTAGGCTGTGGCCCTTCGGTGACACAGATCACTCCATCCAAAGATCCAAGTTTTATTGTTTTGAATACATTCTCCAGCAGCCCCCAACTTCCCTCCCCCCATTCCGTCCCCAATACAGAATAAGGCTTGACCACAGACCCCCTATCCCAGGGGCCTCAGCTAGGAGGCAGAGAGGGCTTCCAGTTTGGTTTCAGGGTACCCCCTTCCCACCCCACTACCTGCTTGCCTATGGGCTGGTCTTAGGAGCAGCTGAGGGGTGAAGGGGTTGGACAGGTGCTGGGGTGGGGGAGTGGGAGAGGGATAGCAGGCACTTGTAGCTTTGTGGCCTATGGGCGGCACCCCTCACCTTCCTCTGCCCCCCACCCCACCCCACCCCCAACATGAAATTTTTGGTTCATCATAAAATGTCCCTCCCTCCCCTGTTGCAACCCTGTGGGGTGAGAAACCCAGGCACTCATGGCCCCTGGAGGGGCAGGGAAGGCTGGACTTGGGCTGAGGGTGGCTGGAGGACGGGGAGAGGTACAGGGGCAGAGAACAGGGAGGAAGACAAGGCTTTACTTCCTAAGCGATTGTAATAAAAAAGTTCCTGGGCATTGAGGCCAGAGCCTCAGTTCAAATATAAATTCCCCAGAATGGAGGTGGCCCCCATCACTCCCCCCCACCCTCCC